CCACCACCTTAGGTGTACGTGGCTGGCGCCTTAGCCGGTTGAGCTACAGGCGCTGAGCCAACCATTGGATTTTTTTACGGGAAGGATGGGAGTGTTGTAGGGCGAGTTAGTAGATTTGAGAATACCAGCCAAAGGAGTTTGAGGATGAATGGTTTAATGCTCCTGAGGACTGCTGTGGGAATTGGGTATTGTTTAGGGAAGGATATGAATGTTGGGGTCAGCAAGCAATGAGAATGGGTGAATGGTGGGAGGCTATAGAAGGAAGAGAGGTATCCCATACAGCGGGGTCTATGGGGAGGTCAGATTGAGAGAATGAGGAGGGGTGTAGGGGAGGGGTTGGAGAGGAACAGGATGGGTAGTGAGAGGTAGAGCCGGTGGGAATCATCAGGGTTGCTTATAATCTTGAGAGGATATCTCTGCCCAGTCGGGGAATGCTGCATGAAGGAATGATAAGGAATGAATGTAGAAAAGAGTGTTTGGAAAATGAACACCACAAGGGTGGAGTAGTGTGAGGGTGTAGCAAATTGCCATCAGTACCCACCACTGAGATCTGTTTGTTGTAAGGGACCCTTATAGCACAGCAAAGTGGAATATGTGGCCCCAGTATTAATCAGAAGACAGATTGGCTTACCTTCCACTAGCAAAGATACCCAGAGCTCAGTCTTGGTGATTGTCCAAGGGGCCTGCTAACTCTCTGGGAACTGTCAGTCTTCAGCGGCCAAGCCCAAGAGGTCAAGGAATCCAACCAGGTCCTGGGAGTGACTGCAAACCGGATCCTTAGAAGGACCTAGGCAGTCAGACTTCCAGTGAGAACCTCTGCAGGCTGGACACGGCTTGGAGTGGGGTTTGAATTTAGGCACTGCTTGGCCCAGGGACCAGGCATACTGTACTTGAAGCATGGTCCTGGGGGAGATTTTCTTTTTAAGGACTGTCCAGAGGAGTTTTGAGAAGTAGCCAGGGTTTGTCTAATGGTGGAAGCTAATAACTGGAGCTCTGACAGGTGCTGCCACTTAGAGGCCTCTTCTTGGTTATTGAAGACCTTGAAGGACAGGTTGATGGGATCTCATTGGGGGCTCTGAGGGCCCTGGAGGTATTTGTGGAGTTTTTCCAGATATCAGGTATAGACTGAGAGATAAAGTGCATGTTCATAATGAGTCTGTCCTCATGGCTCTCTGGCAACAGGGTGGTATAGTGGTGGAGGGCTTTGTTAAGATGGGCTGCAAATTGGGCAGGATTTTTATCCCATTTCTGAGTTATTTCTTTTAATTTGTCATAATTGTCTCGGTGCCTATAGCTCAGCGGCTAGGGCACCAGCCACATACCCAAGAGCTGACGGGTTTGAATCCAGCCTGGGCCTGCCAAACAACAATGACAACTACAACCAAAAATAGCCAGGCATTGTGATGGGCACCTGTAGTCCCAGCTATTTGGGAGCCTGAGGCAAGAGAATCGCTTAAGCCCAAGAGTTTGAGGTTGCTGTGAGCTGTGATGCCACAGCACTCTATCCAGGGTGGCATAGTGAGACCCTGTCTCAAAAAAATAATAATTTGTCATAATTGATGGCTTTATGAGCTACTTTTTTTTTTTCTAATTCCTCTAAGAGACACTGGACCATGTGGTTACAGAGGCCACCCCAGGAATGTTAGTTTGGTAATTCCAACTGAGGTCTTCTCTGGGGATGGCCCTAGTGTCCTCTAGCAGGGTTTGGTCTGTCCTCCATAGATTTTTATTATGAACCTGGGCCTGGGTCTAGAACTGCTCACTCTCCTTGAAATTAGAGTGGAGGTGAGAATGATATATAAATCATGCCAGGTCAGATCATATGATTGGGTCAGTTATCTAAATTCTTGAAAATATTTTGTGGGATCTGTGGAGAACCCACCTATTTTCTGACTTATGTGGGAACAGGTCTGAGAGAGAAAAGGACACATGAACCCTGACAATACCTTCCATTCCCACAACTTCTTGGAGGGGTATAGAGATTGTGGTGGTCCGGAAGTGGAGGATCCAAAGGTACGGCCAGATCTAGTAGGAGATGGGGAAGTAGGGTCCACCACCTTTCCTTTCCCACCACCCAGGGACACCATCTTTTCTTTTTTGCCCAAGTGTAGCGGAAGGCAGGTGGGGGGCAATGGAGAGAACGGGGATGGGGTGGAATTTTGCTGATAGGAGGTTGAGGGAGGGGGGGCTTTGGAGGGGCAGAAGGGGGAGAGATTCAGGGAGTTCAAAGAGGGCTGGTTTGGCCCATGCAAGGAAAATTTGAGAAGGTTCATAAGACAAACACAAAGAAGGAATGTTTCAGAGGAGGAGGAGGAAGGCCTGGATATAAGGGATTTCCAACCATTTGCCAAATCTCCAATAATTGTCGAGGTCAGTGAAGATTGAAAGGTCAAAGGTGCCATTTTCAGGCCATTGTGAGCCATTGTCTAGTTTGTACATAGGCCAAGCAGTATTACAGAAAAAGATGAAGCATTTAGGTTTAAGGTCAGGATAGAGGTGTAGAGGCTTGAGGTGAGTTAAGAGGCAGCTTAAAGATGAAGAAGGGGGGGCTCGGCGCCTGTGGCTCAAGCGGCTGAGGCGCCAGCCACATACACCTAAGGTGG